GTGGAATAGTCTACCTCTGTTCATCAGAGCAGCTCCTTCATTGGAAGTTTTTAAGTCTAGTTTAAAGACACATTTTTACACCTTGGCTTTTAACACAAATTGAGGTTTTACCACTTTACTTTTACATGTATGTGTATGTATATTATACTGTTTTATTTTTATTTTTATCATTCGTGCCTGTGAAGCACTTTGGGCAGCTGGTGTTGTTGTAAATGTGCTATATAAATAAAGTTGACATTGACATTGACATTGGCCACTGCGCCGTGTTGCCCCCAATTGTCCTGAATAAAATAAAATAAATATCTTGCCTCTTACCCCCGATCGCCTTCTGCCGTTAGTGAGAGCTGGGACGCATGAACTCGAGTCTATTTGTACATTCAGAGACTGTGTTACACGCTGGAAACATAGTTCACTTACAATAACCTACACTTAGAAACTTGGGCTAGTATTACCTCTACATTGTCCTGAATTGCTTACCAAACCACATTTCCAAACCAAACACAATTCCAGAGCCATTATCTCAACAAAGCAGAATTTCCATTATATTTCCCCATGTTAGAAAGACGTGCAGCTTGCAAAGGTGGTGACACAGAAAGGACAAAAGGCCCACAGCTAACAACTGCTATAACCCTGTAATGATCTACCTGCATTGTGTCTCTTATCATGTGAGCCCAAGCCTCTCTCATAATTGCCAGTGACAAAATCAATGGAGTCCACTTGTCTATGCCATTACAAAGTCACCGTGGGTGGAGTGCACCCAAGGGCACCCTCCAATCTGATGAACAGGGCTTTAATAAGGACTGCATAATTGTCATTCACACACATGAACATGGATGCTCAAACCAGACTATTTACTGTTGTTGAATTATGGATTCCACCTTAAGAGGATGCAAAGGGCATTTCTGACTTCAATGATTGAGAGAATCATTTAGTTGGAGTGCTTGAGAAGTCATAGATGTCATAATTCAGAATGATAAAGGTTAAGTGGGTCTGGCACTGTAAGATGCACTTTTGCTACTTCTGCCCATGCTATAATTCAATTACATTCAATTAAATCGGTTTTTGTATAGCCTCCTGAATCGGCAAGGGAGGATTTGAAAACTCAGAGGGAAAAAGTGAGAAGCTTCAGGAACCGATATAACTTTAACAACAACTTTGCATTCATATTTTTCCTATTACTTCCAAACCCTCAGCCTCCAAACTAATGTTCTTTCCACCAGAGACCAACAGATTATTTCTAATTCCATGAATATTTCTGTAGAGAACTCGGTTTTTCATCACATTTATTACACCTTTATTCTCTGATCATTTCAAGAGACTTACCGGCTCAAAAAGCAGCAGCTCCTGTCACCGCACGGATACCCCTGACTGAGTGGGATCGGAATCAGACACATTGAGGATTCAATTTGCAGATTTCACCGATGCAAACGTTATTTTCATACTTCCCAGTTTGTGCCTTTCTAAATCCCAAACAGCAGTATTAAAAAGTGTATTGAAGTATTAAAGGAGACATATAGGGTGAAAGCATATGTCCAAGGACTGTGTCCCCCATTGTCAGCCCTAGTTTAATCCTGATGTAATCTTGGTATAGCTCTTGTTTTAGTTTAGTATCTTCTTCTTCCTGTTCTGAGCAGCTTGTGACCCCATGACCACTTTGCTGCTCTCTGATTTGTTGCCACACGTGCTGAACAAACGTGTGTGCGAATATTCGTACCTGGGTACAACTCATTCTACTCTCTTATAATCTGTTTACACTCCTGCGTAAATGTTGTTGAAAAATAAAGTGTGACTTTATTTTGACTATTGTCTAAAGTAAGTGTGGGTGTAAAGTGTGGGGAAATTGCTGTCCGATCTTTCTATCCCAAATTGAACCAATCTCCGCCATTGCCAAAAAGCAAAATTTCAGACAGAAAATTGATCAGTAATGCAATAAATAATCTATACAATTTACAGTGGAAGAGGATCATTTTAGTTCTTGAGCCAGAGTTATGAGAGTTATTAAAAGTTGTGATTGTCAGAGGGCTATGTGCTGGTCATGACATATCATTTTTGAAAACCTGTTGAGCTTATTAAAAAAGAAATGACTCAAAAACGAAAACTGGGCTGCACCGACAGGATCTTTTGTCATGTGTTGCCACTATATCTTAAATTATTTATTTTGCTTTCAATGCAAGTGTCAAACATTATGCAGCATTTCAGAACATGAAATGTTCTTCCTACAGGACAGAAAGAGCTGTATAAGACATTTTACATCAGCTTTCAAAGAGAAAGTTCACCTACAGGATCAAACCAGACAAGTCAAAGTCCAGTCACATTATTTTACAGTAAAATGTGACATAAATTAAAAGTCTGACTCCAATCAGTAAGAACTGACAATAACATGCATCACAGTAGCTGCACTTATTCCCTGGTGGAATTTTCTGTCAGATATAAGAAAATATTTTTTGTTGTTGTTGCATGTGGTACGCAAATTACCAAAATAAAGTTAGGTTATTTTTGTTATTGAGTGACTCGTTGAAACGCGACATTCAATACAATACAATGACGATGATACAATGAAGAGGAGTAGGCACACAAAAAAGAAGCAAACAGCTTGTGCAGATTAATTGTGCTCGCCTTGTTTGATGTCCTCTGCAACTCAGCTCATCAGAGATATACATTGCTACTGTAAAACTTTGGAAAAAACATAACAATAGATCATGCCCTAAAGAATTGTTGGACCCTCAAATCACAGAAATTTCAATTTTATTGGCTACACAATCTCTATATGCAAGGATAATGCAAGGATAATGCAATGATAAGGATAATGTAGCAAGAACTTATTTTTGGCTCATTATTTTCCCTGTCTCAGCTAGTTTTTAGAAGGTGACCATGACTGTGTGACTTTCTGGGCCCATAATAGCAGATATACATCTCCATACACTCACAGTGGTCCAAGGGAACACACAAGGGCGGACTTCCTTCAAGACGGCCGAGCCTGAAAAAGACAAGCAGCCATGCGAAGAACAGAGCCAGCAGTGAGTCAGAGCTGATAACACAGACTTGACCAGGAGACTGTGGGGGATGGAGGTGAGAAAGGGAGACAGAAAGAGCAAGGAGAAAAATTGGGTGAACATTTAAAATGTTAACTACTAATTATAGGTTGGTAAAAGAGCAAGTTTACAGATCAATTAGTTTACTATGCACAGGACCTATGCACCTCAAATCTGGAACGATCTTCCTGAAAGTGTGAGACAGGCCACTACCCCAGCTATATTTAAGTCGCGGCTGAAAATGATTATTTTTAGCCGTGCCTATGACTGATGATAATCGGCAGCAGATCATCAGATGTTTATTTTTATTTTTTTTATTTTTTTTCATTTCCATTTGCATGTGTTTTTAAAGTGTGTTTTAACTGGCTTTAGATGTTGTCAATGTGAAGCACTTTGGTTTGAATTCTGTATGAACTGTGCTATAGAAATTCTTGTTGATGGATTGAACTTCTACATTATACTCGTTTAATGTCTATGCATAAAAACATAGGCATAATTTTTCCTCATTCATTAAGTTTCATGCTTCCGTGCACTTGGGAAAGGGATCAGCAGTGAGACAGTGAAAATAGTGAATGAAGAATTGTGGAAGAGACAATATAATCTGTTCATTGCAAATAAAAAAAAAAGAAGCTGCACAGAACGTTCACAAAACAAACTCCTCACTGCACACATGGCTGATAAAAGAGAGGATGGAGGTGTCACATACATTTCCCCCTATATTCCATCTATGTATTTGCCTCATATCAGACACAAAAGTTAAAATCAATAATACGTTATAAACCATAATCCCTCCACTGATTTCTCAAAAGAAAATTCGTGATCACGTCAAAATGTGATAATCTAATTAAATTGTTAAAAAATAATAAAACATTGATGTATGATATAAATGAGTGAGATCTTACTCGCATTATTCAAAAATTATACAAAATCTGACCTTATTCTTATCCGGAAGTGTGTTTCCAACGTCATGACGTCACGTGTGTGTACGCCGCGCAGAGAGTGGCGCTGAGCTGCACATGTGGAACAGACTCTGGTGAGCCTCACGAATGATGTTATTTGTGCGGTAACATTCTTATTTGAGCGGTAACAGTGTTATTTAGACGGCAACAGTGTTATTTGTGTGCTCATTTACATTTACCGACCACTTCTGTCTTCTGAAACGAACTGCATTGCACTAACGCTAACCTTTGCAAAGAGTTCACATACAATTAGTTTTACTTAGCTAGCTTCTGTAGTTTTACTGATCATTAATCATGCTAGCTAACTCACATCTACTATAGGAACTTACTATGACCGTGTTGCTTCAGTTTCAAATTATACGCTAAATAAATGCTACAAACGCAGTCTTGGCTTGTCTTTCAACTCTGTTTCACTGCAGTTGCCAGAAAGTGGGTGTGCTCTGGTGGTCGTCAAAATAACAGAATTGATTGTTGTAACTAATATTTTATTGTTTTTATCACATGTTTATAGTTTACTGGTATTTTATTGTTTTTATTACATTTTCATTGTTTTTACTTTGTGCATATTTAAATGTGTTGATTTTATCTCTGCAGCACTTTAGAAACTTGTTTTATAAAATGTGCTATATAAATAAAGTGGATTGGATTGTTGTCGGACCAATCCATATCTTGTCTAAAAAAAAAGAAAATTTGCAAATCAGTGAAAATTCTATTGGTTATTACAAAAAAATGTTCGGATGGAGAGTATAATCTGGCTTGATTATCAATGCAAATATCAACTTTTCCCTTTTTGCTCAATGTTAATTTTTTTTTTCTCCAAATTTTACATAAACATTTTTGTAACATAATACATAATCAGATATTGGTAGCCCTAGTTATTCCATGTTTTTTAGATTAACCCCACCAACACAATTATGGTTACCACTGTACTTTTTTCCCCCTGAAAATAGCTTTCTCTTTCTTCTCAGTTACCCTTCAGTGAGCAGTAAACATGTCGAAAATAGACAAGATGAGCATCCTTGGGGTACGGAGCTTTGGAATAGAGGACAAAGACAAACAAGTCATCTCTTTCTTTAGTCCTCTGACTGTTCTGGTTGGACCCAATGGAGCGGGGAAAACGGTATGTCTGTTATTTAGTACGCTCTCAGGTTAAATCTGAGTCTTTTTGTTTTATTTATTATGATTGATCATCCATTTTAATGACTGAAAGTGCAAACAATAGATATATGGCCTGCTAAGTCATTCAGTAGTAATTCATTCACTAATTGGTGGATGGTTGACTGACGTTGGATAGATTCAAGCTATATTATGATAAAACATTAACTGATCCAATGAAATGACTAATATTTGCTTAATTGTGTTGTTTGTTGGCTTACAATACGGCTTTTTAATGGTAGAGGGATTTATTGGGATTATACAGCTACATTTATAATTGTTTGGAATTCAGTAGTTTAATTTTTCAGCCATCAAAATGTATATTTATGCATTCCTATTAAATATTAGTTCTGTGTTTCTTCTGTTTTCAGACCATTATTGAATGTTTAAAATATGCTACAGCTGGTGAACTTCCCCCCGGCTCCAAAGGAGGTGCTTTTGTCCATGATCCAAAGGTGCGCACATAGACTTCTCAAAGTGTTGTTTGTCCTGTCCACTAAAAAGCTCTAGAGAGATGTTCAAGTGAATGCGTCAGGGGATAAAAGAATATGTTGAAACATTTACAGTAATAAGGCATAATGCGCTTCAAGGACTAGGCAACATATCATGGAAAGAGATTAAACTGACTTGCGAAAAATAGTGTAACAGTGTAGCAGTCAAAAATAGATCTGAGTCTTAAGCCTTGAATAAGGCTTATAGTCCTGAAACGTGTAGGATCCTCTCCTCTCCACGTTTTAAGGAATTTTATTTTGCAAGTTATTGAAGTGCCTCTAACCTTTATTTTTGACTGCACTATTCCCGGTTCCCCCTTTTTTAACTCCCAAGTCAATCTCCTCTTTCTATCTAACAGTTATTGTAGAAACTGCTTCTGTTCCCAAGTAGTGTTTGAAAAAAACTTTGTAAAACCATTTTGTCATGAACATATAGAAATTGGAAACAAGGACATGTCCAAATAGGAGTGAGATAAAGTAAAAGATCACAACAACCATTTTATAAACATCTATTTTATGATATAATAATTTTACAACCAATCGTCTGCTTTCCTGAAAATGTTGCAAAGGTAAATATGCATTTAAAATCTCCAGCAGGCCTTATGCCGCGTTCAGACCGGATCATGCGTTGCGTCGGCTTTCAATGCAAAGTCAATGGTGACACGCGTTTGAGCGTCAAAACGCACGAGCGTCTCGGAATGCACACACGGACTGTGCGGGAAAGTCGAAGGGGAGGAGCAGGAGCGGAAAATTGACGCATGCAGGAGATGAATTTTCTGAACCTTTCCTCGGGACGCTCCTGCAGCAACCAATCAGAGAGCCGCAAAGTGGTCACGGGGACATTTGCGGACAGAGCCAAAACAGGAGCTACATCAGGACTAAAACCAGGGTTGACAATGGGGGACATAGTGCTTGTGAACATGTGAGTTTTCATGCTCCCGTGACTTTATGCAACTGCTTCGAGCGTGTTCGCCGATGCGGAAATACCGTTTAATAATAAAATAAACTTCCACCGCACCTCCATGAACACATACTACTGTTATATAAAGTCAGTGGAAGGTCTCTGAACAGACACGTTGTAAAGCTGCATTATTGGAGAAGATCTGTACACAAGAAGCCGCTAGCTAAACTCTGTCAGCATCAAAGCCCGCCGGCTACTTCCGCCACTTCCGGCGCGCGCCAGGACTTTTGGTCTGAAGACCCCTTCAGCGTTTCAGCGTTGGGCGGTCTGAAAGCACCATTATAATCCACCCAGTTTGAAAGCACTGTTTGTTCAGTGAGCCTATCACATCTTTACTATACAAAATTCTAAATAGATTTGAAGTGTAATCCAACATTAACCAATTAACTGTGTTACAGGATGCCCATGAGACCGATGTAAGGGCTCAAATCCGCCTTTTATTCACTGATGTCAATGGAGAGAAAGTGACCATCCATCGCTCCATGTCATGCACTCAGAAGGCCAAGAACTACTCATTTAAAAGCTTGGAACAGGTCATCACCCGAATCAAGTAAGAAATAAAACCTAATTAAAGTGAAATATTAGTTTAATTAAAGTAATCACTCAGTGTCCTTGAACGTCCATAATTAGCCGGTGTTTTTTACAGGGATGGGGAGAAGGTGAGCTTGTCGTCCAAATGCGGCGAGCTCGACAGGGAGATGATTTCAGCGCTGGGTGTGTCCAAGCCTGTGTTAAACCATGTGATCTTCTGCCACCAAGAAGAGTCCAACTGGCCCCTGAGCGAGGGCAAGGCTCTGAAGGACAAGTTTGACTCCATCTTTGCTGCGACCAAGTGAGACTTTGTTTTATTATTATAACAAAAACATAATGTATATGACCCGAGCACTCAACCTAATAATTACTATTTACTAACACGACTAGCAAACATCTTTAATATTGAGCTACATGACTTTTAACTTTGTCTTACTTTTTATAATTGGCTATCTGATTTATATGAGCACCACTGTAGTGATGATTGAATCTAAATACACTTTCAAATCTTGTATTAATCATCATGAAAATTAATTAACATTTTGTGTTGTTGTGCAATGAGTTTGAAGTGGCAGTGCAAAGTCAAGAAAGCAGTTGCTCTTTGAGGATGATTTCAAGATACAATTTTAAAAAGCTTTTCATTGTGTGTATCATTATTGACCAGTTTGGACACCTGATTTATAAAAAACCACCATTCAACACAACAATAACTGTTTTCATGTTTTGACTATTCAATTTATTACAGCTTTTAAAATGAATGAAATCAAAAGACAAGATTTGCAAGTTGCTTTCCCACATATGTAGGGGGTCCATGAGGGAAAAGGTTAAGTTTGTCTCTATTGTATTCCACTCATTAAACTGCATGCTTTTGGTCGATGCCCCCAGGTACATCAAGGCTCTGGACACGATGCGTCAGCAGCGTCTGAAGCAAAGCCAGACGGTGAAGGAGTGTCAGGTGGAGCTGCGGTATCTAAAGCAGAACAAAGAGAAGGCTCAGCAGATCCGCGAGACCGTGGCCACGAAGGAGGCACAGCTCATGGCCTCTAAAGACAGTGTGCAGAACATCGAGAGCCAGATCGACCCCCTGGAGGTACAATAATATTACACCTTTACAGCACTTGTGTTACTTGGGGTAAAAGACTCAGACTTCCTCATTTTTTCTCGACAGTGAAAACTTAAACAAACGCACAGTTAGGAGGCAAACTTTAGTTAAAGCTACCTTTTTTCTCATCATCATTAATGTTGTTTGTCCCAAATAAAATAAATTGTATACTTACGAAAACAAAATAACCCTTTTGACGCTCCGGGCTAAGAGCTGATTGATTGGCTGAATGTAAGTGGTCCTCTTTCTCACCTTCGTGTTTGAAAAAGCTAATATAAAAAATGGTACACAGGCCAAGAATACCTGCAGGTGAAAACTGAATGATAAAACCAAACAAGCAGGGGAGAAGTTAGATGTATTTTGATACATTTTTAAAAGTTGGGTGTCCTTGCTGGAAATGCACTTTCGTCATCACTGGTTTGAAAGCCGTTTTCACTTCTTTCAGATTGCAGTTTGAACTTGAAAAGTCGCTGTTTTTGCGAAACACTTAAAAGTTTCTCTGGCAATTACTTACAGTGGCCAAAAAAAACGTATGCATGTGAAAAATGTGCTCCAAAGGGTTTGAGAGCTCAGATCGTTTTGGATGGATTTAGATACGTGCTAATCCTTTCAGGGTACGAACACCAGTGATTACTTTGATACATTTCCACGTCAGATAAGCTGCGGATAGTAATAAGAATTAGTAATTAAAAACGGGGCAAAGGGGCTGGGGACTCCTTGCTCCACAGAGACGGATATTGTAAGAAAATCTGCTCTTAAACAGTAATTACAATGGCACTGGCTGATCTGCGAGCCCTTTAAACCCAACATTTGGACGAGCCCGTAACAACTTGGACTCGGAACTGAGCTAGAACAAGATGTCTGGCACCTAATTAGCCAAATAACACTTGTAGCAGTTTTATATCTGAGTGTTTTGTCCCAGAACCGCCTGATGGACATCGATACGAAGCTGGGCAAAGTAATGAAGCTGGACAACGACATTAAGGCCTTGGAAAGCAGAAAGAAGCAGATGGAGGACGACAACAGAGAGCTGGAAGAGACCATGGAGCAGGTGCCAGGGAAACAACTTGTCTATAATTTATACAAACAAAACACTCGTAATTCACTCATTGTTGTTTTTCAATTGGAAGGCTCATCTCTCACCAAATCTAATTAGAATTCCGAGCCAAAATTAGTGTAATAACTGGCAGATCTTCAAGCCGGTAACATATTGTAGGATTGTTGCCTTTTGAATATGAATAGAGTAATACTATTTTTTGATCAAATAGATTTTGAGCAATTGTTGAGTCAATTATTAGTTATGCTATATTCTTCTGTTTTGAGAGATCTTATTTGCTGCATGAGCTATGTTCTCAACTAATGCTTTGACTATGTAATAATTTTGTTAGTTATTTATGCTGTACGTTTGATATAGTCACTGTTTTTAATAGAAATTGTAAGTTTATAGGGCTGCTTAACAATGGCTAATAGCATAAACACAATTGGCTGTAATGTGCCAAACTGCAGTTGTGTTTTTACACACACTAGAATGAGTCTCTGTGTGAATGGTTGGTGGTGGTCGGAGGGGCCACCACCACTGGCCACTGGTGGCCTTGCCTCTGTCAGTGTGCCCCAGGGCACTCAATATCACCACCGTGTATGGAGTGAATGAATAATGAAATTCAGGTGTCCATGAGCAGCAAAAACACATTCATCCACAGAAACAAATAAATTGATCATTCTAAGCTAACAATACTAGTACATAATACACTAGTAATAATAAAATGCAACAGCACTTCAGGTCACAGCAGCAGAAGTGGAGTAGCCGGTAGGTGGAACAGGACAGGTCACAGATTTTTTTGCATTTTGAATTTTATGACATTAATTTTTAAACCATATTTTGGAGCGATTACTCCTTAATAGACCGGTAGAATTTTTCCACTAGAAAACTTAAATTAGTTCTCCTCATGAAATGGAAAAGAAAAACCAGCTTCTTCAATCCTATTTGCTTTCTATGTGATTTGTAGAATGACAAATTACCAGACACATTGGCATGAAGATGTTTGGGTTGAGAAGAAAGGAAATCTCATTTGTTTAGTTCAGTTGCCTAAACAGCTGCTTAATGGGACTCCGGACTCCCCTGCGCTCCCTGTGCCAGTGCCCTCCGCGGCAGCCGAGTCCACAGATGGAGAATGAGTGTAGTAACTCGCGGGTGACAAGACTCTTCATCATGCGGCTGTACTGCGCATCCGTTTTGTTTTATGAGACCGGGGTGTTTGCGCTCGCCGCTTCAGACGACTCGCAGAACCTCCTCTGCTCCATCTGTGCGCCGAATGCCAGGTGTGTTTTTGCTGAAGCAGTTTGTAATCGCTGGTATAATCCGTGACTCATCAGTATATCGTTCTTGGCGTTGAGTAGTGACAACGACTGCGAAACTAAAGCGTGTGTGTTTTTGTTGTCTGTAGCACTTTTGATTTTAACTTTTCAGTTAATGTTAAAGGGGCAGTATGTATAAAACTGGCTAAAAGTGGTAAAGCACTCTCCTTGACACAGGTTGCCAGATATGCAGACGAATCCAGCTGGGACCATAATATGTGAATAAAGATTTTTGTCAACAACAAATCTATAACCAACACTTTTTTCACAAAGATAGAAATACTTGTTTTAGTCCTTTTTTTTGTCATTAACTATTTGAAAATCATATCGAGATCTTTTTTAGTTCTGTGGCCACATGTTATACTTTACCAGGGACATTAGCCCGACGCTGTGAGTTCTGGCAACCCGGATCACAGACTTTCTAAATGATAAAACGGTGGAGGGCGGGACATCCAAATTAAAACAATAACAAGATTTAGGGGCTGTAAAACAACTTTTTTAAATCCAAATATCTCGACTGAACTATTGTTATCAGTTAAAGAAGTATTTGAAAAGTGCATGTTTTATTAACGTCTTTTGACATATTAGGGCCATTTAATGATGCCTTGACATGAAAATCTTACATATTGCTACTTTAACCCCCGAGTTCAATGAAGCCCAATTGGGAAGTGCTCAAGTGTTGCTCTTATTGACTGACATTGTAAAAGTAAACACAGAGACCGCTTGTGCAACCCTCACCTGTTTAGGCTAAAACCATAGTCATCAGTTCATTGCAGTTTGTTTGGGTCAATTATTGCGTTATTTGACCAATTTTCCCTAAAGACAAATCTTCTGAACTGTTTTTATTAAATGTGTCAGGCAGGGGTTCCCAAGGTGGGGTCAGGGGAAATAAAAAACATTTGTATATTCTCCAGGGGCGTCACTTTGTTTTAGTCAAATGTATAATAAAAACTCCTATATTCACTGATCATTCGGCATCCAAATAACTAATCCAATAATTGAAAGATTAACTGCCAGCTAATTGGTGGTGAAAGTACAGCCCTAATGTAATGTAATTATCATAGTAGTTTCTTTCTGATGAATACGCACTTCATATCAAAACACACAATTCAACAGCAATATTACAGCTAATGTAAATTGTGCTTTTTGCTTATTTTGGAGGTCCCTGTGGCAAAAGTACTCTTCGAATGCACTTTGAATCGCTCTGCTGCACTCTTAACTTAGGCTTTTTGGTCGGTGCTCTCACAGGTGTTCCAGGGCTCAGACGAACAGCTGCAGGACTTGTACCTCAACCACCAGAAGACGGTGAGGGAGAAGGAGCGCAGACTGACCGAATGTCAGAAAGACCTGGAGAGAGCGGGCCGCGAGTGTCAGAGGCTCAACCGGGTCAAAGCCGACCTCCTGGTGGAGCAAGGTAACACACAGTCATTTCACTGGTGTAGTATTGTTGCAATATTATCATTTTTGTTTTGTTATTAATAAAGAGAACACCATTTGTGATACCTCAGTGATTTCAAAAAGATGCTGTCTTTTGAGCATAGTGTGTCAAAGTCAGTTATTTTAATTAATAATATCTGGTTTTTGACCACTCTGGACAATTGTTTAACATGAAAGAAAACTGGAACATTGGAACTGTTTATCTAATTTGTGTAGCTCTATATGTCAAATTTAAAGTCTCTGTTTGAACTATAGCCAACCGGATCAGTCGGTGATGTCCTACTGATTTAGGTTGATTTAACACAAACACTGTTATTTTCCAGGTCGTCTCCAGCTCGAGGCAGATCGTCATTCTCAAAACATCAAAAACCGTGACTCCCAGGTGAGAGCACGTCTTAATCTTAATCTTCTTGTTAATTCCCGTTTATCACTACATGTGGTGTTTTGTGTAGGTGCGCTCACTATCCTCTTTCCTGGAGCTGGAGGGATACGACCGGACTCCGTTCACTAAACTTCAGCTGGAGACTTTTCATCGTCAAGTTTCTCAGAGGTTGGATCAAGAGAAACAGACTCTTAGCAAAATTCTGGTAAGAGTGATTCAGTATGTTCTTGAATTTAGATTTCACTATTTTATTTGAGGAATTGTATTTTTACCTGTCAAATTCCTACCAGTAGTCTAGTGTAGCCTGCTGGTCGATTAAAGACAAATAAGTTTTAATCTACTGCACAACACAACATCTGATGTTGTGTTGTGCAGTGCTGTATGATTCAATTTAGTTAATTTTGACTGTAACAAACCAAACTCAACTTGAATTACAGGAAACTTCATTTCAATAAAATCACATCCAATCTAAGTAGATATCTGTTACGTGGTAGCTCAGAGTACAGTCAGTCTCCTAAATTCTGCTTGTACCTAATACCCAGTCTATACAGTGAGTGCTTTTTTCCTTTTTGTTATTCGTTTTGTTTCATAATTTAAACAAGTGCTGGAGTTTGCACTATGCAAAATGTTGACTTTTTATGTTTACTCTAAAGTAATATCCGCTATGTTTCGTAATCTGCCTCCTTTACTTCTAAATATCAGTTTTGCCTTATAAATATATTGGTCAACCTCTAAATACATAATATTTTTATTTAAGCTTTATTTAACCAGAAAAAAACCTATTGAGATTAAGAACCTCTTTATCAATGGAGTCCTGGCCAAGAGGCAGCAAAGTTAATCATGAACACAACAGACAGATAAAATTAGATTAAAAATGACAGGTATACAGACTGCATACATCAAGTAAAACAATTAGTTACAATATGAAAGTGTTATGGGATGTATGTCTAGCACAAAATATATATTATTCTGTATTGGGACATTTTGAATTATCCATGCTCATCACTAATATAAAGTCACCTTTATAATATATCCTATTTGTTTATCAGGTAGATCTGCAAGAGAATGAGCATCAGAAGCAGCAGTCTATTGACGAAATGCGTGATAAGAAAACAGGTTTGGAGCGGACGGTGGAGCTGAAGAGAGATATCCAGACCAAGAAACAACAGGAGCTCAGAAACGTTAAAACTGATCTGCAGCGACTCGAGGGCTCGTCCGCTCGTCTGCAGGAGCTGGAGACGGAACTGACCAAAGCAGTGAGTAGTAGGGGTGGGAACCTAAGGGTACCTCACGATACGATACGATACAAAGCTCACGATAACGATATTATCACGATAACGATATCACGATAACTATTTTATCACGATATGACGTTTATCGATATATTGGTCAGAAATATACAATATGCGAATTTATGGCATAAATAAAAGAAAAACTACATTTTATTTCATGATAAATGGAATGGAGATGCGTAATGTAGCCATATATTAAGTATTGATACCAATAAAAAAAAAAAAATTTATTATCTTTTTTTTTTTTTTCAAAATCGATATTGATACTTGGCAAATGCATATCGATAATCGAATCGCGGGAGAAAGTATCGCGATATATCGAAAAATCGATATATCGTCACACCCCTACATGGAACAATCAAAATCTCGCCTCAAATCACATTTGCCTTAATTTGTTCGTATTTATTCTTTTATACTTGGTTTGCTTCGGCCGGTTTGCATCGCATCTAAAACAGCTGAGGCAGCACAAATCGACAAGCGGCAAAGACCCACAGAACGACCCTGTTCTTCCTCAGTGACATGACAGCACCTCTCTCAGGTTTGGGTCAGGACCATTCTCTGGTCCTGGATGTTCTTGCTTTGTCCTTTCTCTTTGGTGTTCGTTTTTTCTTGTGTAGAAAGAGAAAAGAACAAAGATCTGGTTCTTCTATGAATTAATTGTTTGCATTTAATTTCATTTATAGACCTTTGTTTGTATATACATACAGTATACAGTATTTCATATATATGAAATAAGGAAAAGAACAGCTTGCAGTAATATTGCTGCAGGGAAAGATCCCTTTTAGGGCGAGCAGAAGACAAACAGGACAGAGAACGGTTCGACTCTAATCCTAAAAATGCTGAGATCGAGACCCTGTTTATACAGAGCCGTTGCGGACAGGCTGCAAAGTAATTAGCAAAAAACGAGCAAGTTCCTGCAGCGCTCAGATGGCTACGGGAAAAAATGTTGTTCTAGTGTCCGACCAATAGGGGGCAGTGGGACTTTTTTATAACACGACACGCATTAGGCCCAGCAGTAGAACCACTTCCTCAACAACATCCTCCTCAGGCCGCCGAAGAGACGGGAAAGAACCAACAACATTCTGCATTTAACAGCAGCAGTAAAAATGGAAACTGAAACTACAGCTTTGGGTGGTTTCGTTTGGACGAAGGAGTAGAATCCTCCTCCGTGTAGCGCTCGAAGCACATGTAGCTAGTTAGTGTACCCGCCGCTATTGTTGTTTACGTTTGATCTCGGCTTCTGTGCGTGTCCAACGCATGTACTGAGGGAAGTGGAGGTCAGAGCAGACGAAGATTTCACACCTTTTTCTTACGGCTGCGTGAAGAAAAAGGTATGAGATCTCAGCTGCTATGACCTCCACTTCCTGCACATACATTTGGATGAGCGCAGTCGCCGAGAACAAACGTAAACTACAATGGCGGCGGGTTCTATTTTCACTGCTGCTGTTAAATCAAGAAGGATGTTTAGTTCTTTCACGTCGTTGCGGCGGCCTGAGGAGGATGTTGAGGAAGTTGTTCTATTACTGGGCCTCATGTGTGTTGTTACAAAGTTCCACAGCGTCTCTGTCTCTAAACCGTGGCCTTGGTCTTTGTTCTGTAGCTTAGGTCCTGGATCTACAGCTTCAGTCCTCATTCAACAGTCCGAGTCCTGGATCTATAGCCTGTCTGAATTTAACCAATGTAATAAAAGCAATAAAAATCATATAAGAATAGTTACACTCTTACTTTTCATGAAACCATAGAAAACTGTCTGTACTAATCTGTCACTCTCCACTTTTTCTCCACTCTAAACAACGTATTTAAAAGCAAGTACTGAGTTAAAGTAATCCTTTGACTCGGAGGACTTTACAAGACCATATATACAAAAAAGAAATATTGCATTATCAGTATTACTACAAACAAACAATAAATCAATATTTATCCAAAAAATCTATTCTTTTTTAATCATCATTACCATGTCAAGCCACGGAAAGAGTCCGATCCGAAACTAATCCCTCCACTCCAAGGCTTGTAAACTGCAACATTCATTTTGAGAATCATATTTTCAGACCAGACTGGGAAAAACAAAGCAAAAGTCCATCTTATCTAATCTTTTAATAATATTTTATTATTTGCCATATGTACTAGTCTCTCCATGGCCTCACACCAAAGCACATCCAAGACATGTTAGAGCCATGTGAATAAACTTGGACTCTGAAGAGTCCAGGGACTGGCCTCCTGCTGGGACTCTGAGGAGCACAGGGACTGGCCAAAAAGCAGAAATGCATAAAGATAATGATTTAATGAATGAAATAAATGAAACTCCAAGGTAAAAAATAAATTAAAAAAATAAACTAAAATCAGGAACCAGGAAAACAGACGAACAAAGACAATGGACCAGCGACACAGGAGGATGAGCACAGGTACATTTAGACAGAGACACAGGTACATTTAGACAGAGACACCGGTACATTTAGACAGAGAAACAGGTGAAACACTTTAGGGCGGGGCAGACAATCAAACCAGGAAGTCAAATAAAAGATGATAACCACAGAACTAATGTCAAAAATAAAATCCACACCTTGACAGTCCATGTTGATTGGAGCTTTTTACTTAACCCCAGTACCTGAAAAACGAATCCTTTAACGCCAAGATGAGCATTGGAGTCGGTGGAGAAGGTCTCGTGGTGGGCTCGAACACACAACCCTCAGGCTCAAAGGCCAATGCTCTACCAACTGAGCCAGTGTCGCCCCCAAAAGATATGTCCATCCATATTAAAAATAGAAAAAGCCAGAACTCAGTGCAACACCCCCTGACTTTAGTAGAATAAGGAGAAAGTATAAAATGTTAGGAGTTTGAGAGCATGGGACCAATACGTATCAATCCATTTCCACTTCACCAATCACCTGCAGCTGTGTAATCCAGGTCACACTGACACATTGCTGTAGTGAACGTTGGCCATTAGCTCCTGTGGGCAATACTGGCTAACCTTACACTGACCTGAGCACGACGGCTGGACCTCAGGCAAAGAGCAGATCATACAAATCAACAGGCTCCATCTCTTCTCATGGGGCCCGGAAAATCCTCTTTCCTTGGTTAGTCCAGAGCTTGAGATGCTGTGGAGCTCCCTGCGCTCGTGCCCTTTGACCCCTGTGCATCACGCTCCCAGACTGGTTTGACCTTGAGACAATGAGCTGCTTCAGAACTTCACGGAAGGAACAGAGAATTTCCTTGTCATGAATATTGCATTTTTCAGGTGGGAAAGTGCATTAAGCGTGTGGCAATTTCTTCAGATTGGTCTTTATTCACGGGTTGTCTTATGCAATGTTCTGTTTTATAATCGTCGATTCAATGAGTTTGAGAATCAAGTTGTGGATGTTGAGTTCAGTGCAATACGCTCTCAGTTCTGGGAACACTGGTACAAGTGTCTTCTTAAATAAGTCATACTTTCTTTTTCTTTAGTATTTCTCTTTGTCTTGTGGTGTCTTTGTATTGTGTTTTGTATGGACCTTGAGTCCGGAATTAAGATTACTATTATTGTTTTATAGGCCTGAGAATGAAGGTGTTGTAATGCATGACTTGAGCCAGTCTAATTCATTGGTTTGGAATCCAAAATCAAATCAATAAATATATTTTTAACCTCTTAAACTCCTACATCTGTTTTGGCTCGTGCACAAAAGTTTGGCATACCCAAATGTCTTTGCTTATTTAAAAACACATCTTACATCTCACATGCTTGTGTGATGCATCATTTTAAAGCTAGGCCCTTCTAGTTTATGTAAATATACACTGAAATAATGTATGTCAATCCTATTTCACTCTGCATCCTTTGAAGTTTGGGAAAAAAACCTGTTTTTTTTTTAGCCTCGCCTAAAAAATTCAATGTATAAATGCCGTGAAAAAGCCTACTTCATTGGAAGAACATTTTCAACGCTAATTTGTTCATTGTGTTGTTGACAACAACTGTGTAAAGTTTCAGACTTCTAAGTTTTATAGTTTTTATGCAGTTTCTCTTTTTTATCAAGTAGTGCCATTCGGAACCAATTTGGCAAAATGTGTGCCAAATTGTGCCAAACTGCTTTACTAACATTTCACCATCATAAAAAGCATATTTTTTAGTTTTGATACTTATAAGTTACAAATCTGTGTGATTTTCTTTTACATATTTTCAAAATTATTTTTTTTGTAGTGTAAATGCATATAAAATATGCGCAGCAGTACTAACAGCGTCTTTACGCACGCTTTTACTGTGAAAATGAAGAGTTCCTACAAGTCCCACCCATCAAAAGAAAGCTCTTTTTATTGGCTACTTAGACACGTCAATCATTCAGAGCTAGCTCATTGCGCTAGCCTGTAATCAACAACAGGGGAAAACGGACCCTCTACAAGTGGATGCGGTTTGTCTTTTTTACAAGGGTCCTGCGGACTGAAACCTGCTCCTATCTTTTCATGGAACCTCTCTTTTTAAAGCTAAGGACTCAAGGAACACATAGATATGATGTCTGTGGGGGTAAACAAAGCTCAAACTTGGTGAAATGTGAAAGAGAAGCCTGAACATTTTTCGGAGCGTTTTTCTTTTGCAACAGAAAAATGCACATTTTTGGATTATTTCTGAAGAATGGATTATACTTTGGGAAATACAAGTGGATATTCTTTTTCAATGAAGACTTACGGATAGAAAGAGACTAAGCAAGGTTGGGGAAAGTCTAATTTGTTGGAGCAGCAGAAGATGAAAGGTAAGAAACTTATACAAACACGATTTATTTTGTGCCCATATTATGCGTTATATCTTTTTAATGCAAAGTCTGATATAGTTTACACTTACATATAAATATATAGCTGAGAAAATAAGCTTTAAAATGATATATAGCTTGTGGCTTATGAAGTTCAAAATACATCTGCTATTGCCAGCAGAAGTAATTTAACCTCTTAAGTAGAGCTTAAGAGGTTAACGTAACAATTAAAGTGTACCCACAAACTTCCCA